TGATTCTCTTCTTCTAAAATGTTTCTGGTATCAGAAGCACTAGATTTTAAGAATAACTCCAAGCCTAATCTTGGCAGTTGCATAGGAAACTGTCATCCAGCAAGTTTGATTTTTCTCAGGTTAAAAAAAATTAGGTTTTGTAAAACTCATTTGATTGTTGAAGTCTGTTTTCTGCTCCCTTCTCCCCTTTTTATAGTAGCTAAATGTAAAATTCTAAGTATAAAATTCTCAAAAAAAGCCCCAAAACAAAACAACAAACTCCAAAATGAAAACTCAACCAAAAAACTACCCCTAAACCAAAAACGAAACATTCCACACTCCACAACGAACTTTTAATCTTGGTAAAGCAGTAGGCTAGTTTAACAAAAGTAGAATTCCTGGGGAATAAAAGACAAAGAGAAAAAACTAAAATTTCTTTTATAACTCAATTTAGAAAGCGCCTCTGACGACAAGTAATACTTTTGTGACAAATCATTGTCTGTGTGCCTTCTTTTGCTTTCAGTGGCTTAACATAAGCCATTGAAAGGTTCATTTCTCTAAAAGGAGGTTCTTGTCTAGTTGTGAACATACTTGATGCACTGTAAGTCAAGCTTGGTTTAAAGTGAAACTGAAAAATGAAAAAGAAGAATATAATCACCATTCCTCGAGCAAGATTTTGCGCTGTGCAGTATGTAATATATAAAATCTTCCCTTAGAAGTTACGTGTGAAATTCTGCTTGTAACTGCAAGCTTTCTATCTCCCATATTCATAATAAGACTCCAGTCTTGTTAAAAACTGTTCAAAAATTGCAGAGGCAAAACCAAATTATTTCAAGTAAATTTGATGGAGAGCCTTAAAGAAATAAAACTTTTGTTAGTCTTGTGATTTTGAGTAGGTAAGCGAAAGTTCAAACCTGTAATTCCTGGATGGGAAAAAAAAGCATCATGAACTCAGTCACTTGATTTAATATCCAGGAATCCATATAACAGTCAGACGTAGGGCAAAGCAATTTTTAGATGTAGAGCTACAGCTAACCAGTAGTAAGTTTTGTTTATGAAATTAATTGTTCAATAAATGTGTGCTGTGTCACTGAGTCAGTGGTTTAGCAGCCTGCTGTAGGAGGGTTGCCTTTTCGAGTTGCTAGATGGTCACCAGATGGCTGCCTGAATCCCATATGGTAGAACCTTGTGCTCTCTCTTAAACTGATGGCTGGTTTGGGCGGGCTTCAGGATTTCAGCTTTGTCTGCTTATGCATCCTTCAAGTTGTATCCATCTTCTTCATAAAATTCAGAGCTCTCTAAACACTTTAGGTTCCATCTCTGACCATCAAAGACGTGTTTGTGGAATGTTTCTGAAACCAAATGCAGCCATATGGCTTAGTGCTTCAGCTGTTACGTATCTCTGACATAGGAGGCAATCTAAAGTTAATTACTCCTCAGTTTAGACCTGAAGTGATCGTTTTGTGGGCTGGATTTTGCTCTCCAAAGTATATCATGTGGCACGTTCCCTGCTGTTCTCTTTCCTAGAGGACTGCTAGATGTGTGTCCAGGCATGATGCCCATATATGAAAGCACACAATTTGGAGAGTTAACGGGAATAGTTACCACCTGGCATTTTTTGACTGCCGATGAATAGTTGTGTAAAATGAGGTGTGGCTCTATCAGACAAAAGATTCAGCACCTTTCTGCTTTGGAAGAAGAGGGGAACATTGAGACAGCCCACCCCATATTCTTCAGCACTTTCTCAGTTGCCTGAAGCTCCCCACCTGTTAATCCTGCATTTAGCAGTCAGTTTGTAGATGACTGCATTTTCTTAGCCCTGCTACTTTCTGTCTATCTCAGGCCTTGGTTTGACTACAGGACATAAATACAAAATACACCAATTTTACCTGTATGCCAGAGCCTTTCCTGGCTCTTTTCCAGTATTCCAGCATATTGCAGAGGCTTCGGGCCTCTTGTGAATCATAATGCTCTCAAAATAGAGCTTATTTTCTTGAGTGGCAGTGTTACACATATGCTGCAACTACTAATATGTATTAGAAGTCATAATATTACTTCTAATTCTGCAGTATCTGTTGGGAAAATGCACAGATTGTCCATGAGAGCTCATTTGAACAATTTTTTTAAAAAAATATTCTTTACAAAAACATAGCAAATGCGTTTTTTGAAGAAAGACTTCATTGATTTTAAAATAATTGACACAACTTTCATGTGCTTATAGGCATCTGCTCAATGTGTGGCAAGAAGGTCTTGGATACGAAGAACTACAAGCAAACTTCAGTCTAATTGTATTGAGTAGTCTTTTTATGAACTTTAACTTCTGTGTCCTTGTACAGTAACTTTTCCCTAAAATAATTTGTGAATATTGCTTTCTGGAAGATAATGCAGTTTCTTGGAATGAGATAAGAGGTAAAGACAGCCTGATTGTTTGCCCAAAAATGTACATAATATTTGATTCTTGTTTTAGCACTAATGTTAACTGATATTGAAAGCCAATGGTTTGCAGCAACTGATACAGCTCAAAGGGAATGAGAGGATCCTAGTGGATAGGTCGAAACTATATTACCCTCATAACAGAGATTTTTGAGATTAACACTTTTATTCTTTTGGCTATCACAAGTCTTCTGCTTGTTTCATAGTTATATGTCATAGATGTATAAAATATGAGCTTGTATCACCTCGTTAAAATATCTTCATTTGGTTCTATGCCTATAAGTATTTATAATTACTCTCAGCTCAAACTGTTACATCCTTGCTCTTCAGATCTTAATGCAATTGTCCTGTTGAATTTTGTTTCTGCCTACAGTACAGTTGGTTAAATCACAAACTGTTAAACTACTGAAATCTACTGAGTTGCCTTCCTTATTCTTTCTTTGGCATTGTCATGGTTTAGCCCCAGGCAGCAACCAAGCCCACAGAGCCACTGTCTCCCTCACCAGCAGAGCTGGGGAGAGGGTTGGAAGGATAAAAGCTAGAAAACTCATGATATAAGGACAGTTTATTAGGGAAAGCAAAAGCCACTCACACAAGCAAAGCAAAACAAGGAATTCATTCACCACTTCCCATGAGTAGGCAGGTGTTCAGCCATCTCCAGGAGAGCAGGGCCCCATCACGTGAAACAGTTACTTGGGAAGACAAAACACCATCATTTCAAACATGCCCCACTTCCTCCTTCTTCCCCACACTTTACATACCGAGCATGATGTCATATGGAGCCCCTGGTCGTCAAGTGGTTAAGGCGCGGCGCTGTCAATGCTGAGACCCGGGTGCGATTCCCGGTCAGGGACACTCCCCGGGCAGATGGAGCTCGTTAGCCCTGTAAGGCAATCCATCTACGTCCTGAGGACCTCGCTGCCACCGTCCAAGCGTGCTTGGCCCTGGCAGATGAACCTCAGGATTAAAGGGTGGGCTCAGTTCAGCGCACACTGTGTCTCACCTAAAAAATCCAATGCGCAGGCTGGAAGGTGTAAAGACCTTCCCCGGTTCTTCATTCGCGAAGACTGGCCATTACTTATATGGTCTGGAATATCCCTTGGGTCAGCTGGCCCAGCTGTGTCTCCTCCCAACCTCCCATGCCCCCGCCGCCAGTCTCCTTGCCAGCAGGAGAGGCCTTGGCTCTGTATAAGCCCTGCTCAGCAGTAACAAAAACATCTTTATGTTTTCCACCCTGTGATCAGCATAGATCCAAAACACAGCCCCATAGCAGCCACTGCAAAGAAAACTAACTCTACCCAGCCAAACCCGGCACATGCTGATCAGCTATTCCCTCGTTGGCCTCCAAGGAGGCTTTATGTG